GGGCTGGAGTTCTGGCTGTCCTGTCCCCCTGCCCAGTGAGTGCTGTCCCTGCCCCAGTGTTTGTGTTCACTGGTGATGAGGTAGAGAGCAGAACTGAATCCATCCCAGCAGGGACCTCCAGATGGAGAGCACGTAGAGATGGCAGGCATGGACAGATGAGATGTGTCCATAAGATGAGACTTAACACCTGCCTAGATCCAGCAGTGAGGTGTTCACGGCATGGCTTGGTGTTAAGAATGCTTGCAAGGGCCTTGGTTCTACTCCCAGTTCTTGAGAACTGGCCTGGAATTCAGCAGAGCTCTGGCTGCCTGTCTCCTGAGTGGTAGGATTAGAGTGGCCACTCTACCTGGCAAATGAGTATTTGTGCGATGCATTTGTTACCGTTAGGACGAGTCCCACTGGAGCGAGCTCAGATCACTGGTTGCTCCTTTTTCTTGTATGTGAACGCATGCCATGGGTGCAGGTGGAAGTCAGGACAACTTCAGGAGCCAGTTCTCCTTCCACTGCAGAACCAGGGTGGTAATCAGGAGGCTCTGGCCTTCTAGACCATCTGGCTGGCCCAGCTATGATGGCTTCTGACATGGGGCCTCATTTTTACTGGAGTGCCCCAGAAAGCTTCTCCAAAATGCCAGTGCCTCAGCCAAGAAGCTAAAAGAGGAGGGGTGGCCTTGTAAGGGGGAAAGGGGCTAGTTTCCTGGCACGTCAGGAATGCAAAGGTCAGGCTGGAACACAGCTGCCTGCCCTCTATGCATCCCACCTGTGCATCTCAGAGTGACTGGGGCTCATTTAGGATGCTGTCAGTGGAGCTGTCCTAGTGCCACGAGACTTTAGTCCCAGCACTCTGGAGGCAGAGGCAGGCAGATCTCCGTGAGTTCGAGGAGAGCCAGGGCTGACTGTCAGCTTTGATCGTTTGGGACCTGGTGGGACCTTACATCCAGCCTTCCTCCACAGGAACCCTGCCTGCCTTCCTGAAGCCTGCTGTTAACCTTGGTTCTCACTAACCCTGTTGTCTCAATTTGGGGGGTTCTAGTCACTTAGGACCACTTAGGTTCATCCATTTGCTTGAAGAAGGTGACTTTGTTGATCACTTCTGAAATGCCAGGCTTCATGTTACTCATTTATGTGTCTGCTGCAAAAGATGGAAGCCAAGACCTCAGAATGCTAGGCAGGCTCTCCTCCACCCCTGTACCACATCCCCAAACCCTTGCTGGGGGATTCTCAGCAACGGTTCTACTCTAAGCAGTGTCCCCACTGAAAATTCATTCAAAACTTCTGGGTTTTCATCCTCAGAATGTGACTTTGACCAGACTGTTCTTGGATGGGTGATGTTCATTGTCAGGTCCTCCAAGTTATGCCCATCAGAAATACCTTCATACATTGCAGAAAGACCTCGTTGGGAACTGCTGCTCTAGTCAGAACTCCTGTCCTACAGTGAGGACCAGTGCACACCAGCATGGTAGGAAAGGCAGGGCCTGCTAGGCAACCCGGAATGGAGGGCAAGAATCAGGACCGGAGTGGGGCTCAGGGTCATTGCACAGACTTGACACCATAGGCTCTGTGTTTATCTGCAACACTACAGACACTGAAGAGGCCTGGGGCAAGGCTTGATGGCAGAGCTCCTGCCTGCTGACCTGCCAGCAACCACACTAACCAGAGCAGGTAGTGGGGACACCCCAAATCCCAGCACTCTTACCAAGTCAATAGAAGGCTTTTGTCTCAGCCTAGCTGAGCTTTGTGGGTCACATCTGTAAACCTAGCATTTTGGGGAGGGGGGTGCAGGAGAATCCCAGAAAGTTCTAGACCATCTGGGGTTACACGAGAGTCCTAACAGTGGCGAAGAAAAAGGCGGGGCCAGCAGGGTGGTTCAGCAGGTGAAGGCACTTGCTGCTATGCCTGACTTCCTGAGTTTGATCCCGGGAAAAGCATGGTGGGTTTGAAACCTGCTCCACAAATTGTTCTCTGACCTATGCACACGGTACGCTTGCACGAGCACCTACACATGCTTGCACAGCTGCTGGTGGGGTGAAGGCTTGAGTAGAGTGCACTGGCACGTGCCTATAATCCCGGCTACTTGGGAGGCCAAGCGGAAGGATCATAAGTTTGAGACTGGCCAGCCACAGCTACATAGCAAGATCCTTTTTTTAGGCGGGGTCTCTATGTAGCCGTGGCTGTCACCAGGCTCAGACTCAGGGACCTGCCTGCCTCTATGGAGTGTGTTGGGATTAAGGTTACACCTGCTGTGAGACCCTATTTTGGTTTTTGGTTTTTTTTGTTTGTTTGTTTTTTCCCAGTTTTTTGAAACAGAGAACCCAGGTTAAATTCTCAGTATCTACATGTCAGCTCATAATCACTTGTAACTCCAGTTCCAGGCAATTTGATATTTTATGACCTCTATGGGCACCAGGTGTGCATGTCACAAAGACATACATGTAAGCAAAACACACATGCACATAAAATAAATCTGAAAAAAAATATTTTTAAGTCAGAATAAGGCCAAAACTGGGCTATGGTGGTACCTATAATCTGGCTATATATTAGACTGAGGCAGGGCCATGTGTTAAGGCATGCCCGGGCTACATGCTGGGGCCCTGACTGGAGGGAAAGAATAAAAACAGCTACAAACCCCGAAGAGGCAGTACTGTGATTCAGAGTTTGGATTCAACCCATTAGGAGAGGGCTGGGTAGGACACAGTGGCCAGGTGTCCTGTGGCACAAAGCAGGGTCAGATCTGGGGCACTCTGTAGATAGTTACCCAGCTGGGTTGAGGGAAAGCTTCAGTGGCTGGCTGTGTCACATGGTAGTCCAGAGCTGTTTTAAAGCTGGAGCCAACCCATAGGGCACCATAGGTTATTGTGAGGGTCTCTGTTCTTCCCAGGGTACCAGGGAGCTATGGCAGGTTTTCAGGAGAGAGCAGAGTGGGGTTTTTGGTTTGGTGACAGCCCCCAGCCCCTATATGTGCTGTGGGGTCGGTTGGAGAGGCTGTGGGAATTACCTCAGAGGCTGACCACCTTCTCCTGCAGGGATCCTCTGGGCCCACTATCTCCAGAGCATCACGCCATGTCTGGCCCTGGGAGGAGAGCTCGTTTACCACCGGCGGCCTGGAGAAGAGGGCACTGTCATGTCTCTAGCTGGGAAATACACGTGTAAGCCTGGGCACGCTTGTGGTCTGAGGGAGGTGTGAGGCTGTGGGTTTCCAGATGCCGGCATCCCTGTGACACCCAGGCCTTACCCACCTCTGCTCTCCTAGTGAACAACTGGTTGGCCACAGTGACGCTGGGCCAGGCGGGCATGCACGCAACGTACTACCACAAAGCCAGTGACCAGGTGAGGTGGGGGAGTGCCTAGTTTTGCTGCTGCTGTTGGCATACCCAGGAGCCCCATGGGCAACTCACATGTGTGCCCGACCCTCCCTCCTCCAGCTGCAGGTGGGCGGCGAGTGCGAGGCCAGCACCAGGATGCAGGACACCAGTGCCTCCTTCGGGTACCAGCTGGACCTGCCCAAGGCTAACTTCCTCTTCAAAGGTAAGGAAGGCCTCAGTTTCCCTCCTGGAAAACAGACCAAGGCTGGCTCACATAGCTGTGTGGTGGAGGCCATGGGAGATAAGGAATATGACAGTGTCCTGGGGGTCCTCTAAATTACTCAGGGAGGTTTTCAAACAGTGGGGCCCCCAGCCAGACACATCCGTTAGGTGTTAGGAGCCACAGGTGAAACTCTCTTCCCCTTTAGCACTGAATGAAAGGCAGCGTGAGGAGGAGCTCCTGGCCCTCCCGTTCACTCTTGCCTTACTTGGGGTTGGTCCTGTTGCTGTGATGAAACACCAAGCTGTGATGAACAGCTTGGAGGAAAGAGTTTATTTTGGCTTACAACTCACAGCTCCCACTCCTGCCGCTGAGAGAAGTCAGGGCAGGAGCGTGAAGTCGGGAACCCGTGCAGAAGGCCATGGAGAAGTGCTGCTTATTTTATTGGCCTGCCCCCTAATGCCCCAGGACTACCGGCCCTGGTGTCCCCACCTGCAGTGACCTGGGTACTCCAAACTAAGACTGTTGGAGTCTGGGTGGTGACTGACAGGTCCAGAACCTGTTGTAGGTGGTCACCTGGTCTTTTCAAACCTGGGTGATGCTGAGGCTTAGTAAGCGGACCACAGTTCACTTTGGGGTCCGTGGTGATGTTGATGCTTGTGGGTACAACACCACAGTCCCTTGCAGTTAGGGACCAGCTGAGTCCAGCCCTATTTGCCATTGTCCCACGGCTGAGCTGGTACCTAACCCCTAAGTCTCTCATGCGCCTGTCTACTCAGGAAATCGGCCATTCCCAGAAATCAGGGCTGCAGAGGCGCGTGCCCGTGCCAAGTAGCTGCTTGGCCTGGGACAGACATGCACTTGAGGTCTGGTGACTACCTATAGGGTGACCCCGTGTGTCCACCCCACTCTTGGCCCACAGGCTCTGTGAGCAGTAACTGGATCGTGGGCGCCACGCTGGAGAAGAAGCTGCCTCCCCTTCCCCTGACACTGTCCCTGTGCGCCTTCCTGAACCACCGCAAGAATAAGTTCCTGTGCGGCTTTGGCCTCACCATCGGCTGAGCCCTGTCGCCCTTCCTCTGCAGACCACCGCTGGGCCGCCGCCCTCCCCTCCTCTCCCTCCCTCCTGGGGCCAGGGCAGCGGGAAGGAGGGGACCCACCTCATGCTCGAGGATCCCCAGCGCCAGGGGACAGTGTCCGGGGGCCTGGGGTCCCGGAGGGAGTTCTGGAATTTGAAGGGCACTCGGTTATGAGCGCCCTGGTAGAGGTGGCTGGACAGGCTCAGGGAAGAAAGAGGGGA